GACTCACAGTTCCACAGGCACAGGAAGCATGGTTGGGGAGGCCTCAGGAAACTTACAATCATGGCAGAAGACAAAGGGGAAGCAGGCACGTCTTACATGCCCTGAGAAGGAGGAAGAGGGCAAAGCAGGAGGTGCCACACACTTTTAAACAACCAGCTCTCTGGAGAGGATGTGGAGAAATAGGAACACTTTTACACTGTTGGTGGGAGTGTAAATTAGTTCAACCATTGTGGAAGACAGTGTGGCGATTCCTCAAGGACCTAGAAATAGAAATTCCATTTGACCCAGCAATCCCATTACTGGGTATATATCCAAAGGATTATAAATCGTTCTACTATAAGGACACATGCACACGAATGTTCATTGCAGCACTGTTTTTACAATAGCAAAGACCTGGAACCAGCCCAAATGCCCATCAATGATAGACTGGACAGGGAAAATGTGGCACATATACACCATGGAATACTATGCCGCCATAAAAAACGATGAGTTCGTGTCCTTTGTAGGGACATGGATGAACCTGGAAACCATCATTCTCAGCAAACTGACACAAGAACAGAAAATCAAACACCGCATGTTCTCACTCATAGGCGGGTGTTGAACAATGAGAACACATGGACACAGGGAGGGGAGCATCACACACTGGGGTCTGTCGGGGGGAAATAGGGGAGGGACAGTGCGGGGTGGGGAGTTGGGGAGAGAGAGCATGGGGAGAAATGCCAGATATAGGTGACGGGGAGGAAGGCAGCAAATCACACTGCCATGTGTGTACCTATGCAACAATCTTTCATGTTCTTAACGTGTACCCCAAAACCTAAAATGCAATAAAAAAGAAAACCCAGAAAACAAGCAAACAAAAAAACAATGAGCTCTCATGAGAACTCATTCACTATCATAAGAACATCAAGAAGGAAATCCACCCCCATGATCCAATCACTTCCCACAAGGCCCCCCCTTCAACACTGGGGATTACAATTTGCCGTAAGATTTAGCCAAGGACACACTCCAAAACACATCAGATGGGAATAATGACCACACATACTTCATAAAGTTTTTGAGATGATTAAACGAGAAAACATGTATAAAGTGCTTAGCATATTGCCTTGGACACAGTAAGCATCAATGCACGTGAGCTGTTATCGTGTATGTGATATTGCATAAGTGGAATATGCTATGGGCATTTTCTATGTCAGTAAATATAATCCATGGAATAAAATTAAATAAAAATGATGTAGTAAGGAAAGTGTCAATTCTAGAGAGGAACCGGCTTAGTTTATCCTTATGGGTTGTATACTTCTAGCTGCCGAGAAGTTCATAGGCAAATTTATCCAAGTGGTAAGACCTTGTGACCTGAATAATCATGTTCTATTTCCTCTGATCTTGGGGACTTACTTTTTGTGACTTCCATTAACTCTCTATTTCATTTAATATTCTCCCTGTAAACCCCCTTAGATCCCTTGTGCAATGTGGTTGGGAAGAAAGAAAGGAAAAAATGGGAAGAAAAAGAAACATGGATGGCAAGAAGGAAGGAAAGAAAGAAGAAAGGGCCAGTTGCACAAGACTTTGGAGCTGCTGATTATAATGTTTAGCTTTTGGATTCAAGCTAATTGACACAATTTTTTCACTGAACGCCAGACTTTTTCAGGTGCCCTCTAGCTGCACTGCATTTGTTTATATTTTGACTGGCATTAAGCCTTAAGCTATTATCCCTGATGCAACTGTGAGTTTTCACAAATGATGCCACTTGAGGTATGTCATGGCTTCTGGTTCACGCTGGTGTCTGGTACGACTACAGTCAGCTGCTTGTTATCTATGTGGAGATTGGGCACTTTGTTTTTCGGCAGCCAATGTTTCATCCAAGGTCAGCTTCCCTCAAGTGCTCAGCACTGTTTCAGAGGGTGTGTGCTGAGGGAATGCAGATTAATTTACTGTTAGCTTTAGCCAAACCTAGCTATGAAAGTAAACCTGCTTTTAAAGATACCATAAACACTGATGAAGATCATCTAAATTATATGATGTTTGAGCATGTATAAATGCATAAACATTCACCTTAATTCCAAAGGCATCATTCCATAACACTGTGAAACTCATCTTTGCATTAGCCTTATTTTTGTTCTTTGATTACAAGTAAATGTTAACTTGAAATTATTGAAATACCTTTGATATCATATGTTATTGTGACTGGGGGGGCTACCAGAATAGGCTGAGAATAGATGGCTGTTTCATGTTTCTGTTTGATTATGAAAATGCTTATAATAGAAAATGAGGAAATAGGAAACTCTAGAGGAAATAAAACCATTTATAATCCCTTCACACATAAATGATCACTGTTAACATTTTATTATATCTCTTTCCATACATAGTTGAGGCTGTACAAGTTCTCAAGATGGATTTATAGATTGTTTTAAGAAAAAATTAGTGTTTTTGGTGTACCAAAGCACTTTCAGAATTACTTCCATGCTCTGCCAGGCCTCCCTGCCTGAAAGAAAGCAGGGCATGGGAGTGAGGAGTCCTGGGATCTGCTTTTCCATAAGGAGGAGCCACATCTTGTCTCCCTCTACCACCCCTATCTTTATTTTCCTTTTGCCCCCAGGAGTGGGCAGGGCCCAGGGTAGATAGACAGGCTGGGGCTGAGAGATTGGAGCTCCCCAGGCCGTGATGTATTTCCTAGCTGCCTTCACAAGAGCTGGGGAATTCAGAAATCACGGTGCAGTCAGTTACGTTACATAATAGAGAAGGAGGGAGAGCGGGATTTCCCAAAACCTCTAGGTGCAGAACCTAGGGCAGAATCGAGGAAGGACTTCCCAGGTTTATCTCCTCTCCTACCTTAGAATCATGCATCCAGTGTTTTCACTCCTGTCATCCTGTCTCCTTCCTTTTCCTGGAACTGCGTTCTGTTCTCTTGAGGGAGTTTCCCAAGTTCCCCACTCTAATCAAGAGACGTGATTAGGGACTATGGGTCCTTGTTCCCCCTTCCAGGCAACAAGGGGAGCACATGACTCAAGCCACGCCTATCAGAGATTCCCTGGGATTTTAAAATGAGTGTCAAGAAACTGGGACCCTTTCTTCTGGTAGCAAAGTTGGGAAGACATGAGCCCTGTACTCTTGTGACTGTGTCCCAGGATATGTGAAAGATGGAGCTTGCAGTAAGAGTTAATTAATCTAGTCTTCAGAGAGAGGCAGAGATGAGAATGTAAAAGAAATGTGGGGAAGGAAGGAAGGGAGAGAGAAACCCAGTGGTATTCTGGTCCATAGTTTTATTTCTCCAGACTCCCTAGATTATCTTCCCAAAGTTTAGTTTTATCTTTTTCAAATTCTATAACTCTATGACCTATCCTAGGAATTTTCCCCAACAAATTACTTCCGAATTGCTTTTCTATCATTTGCAACCAAAAGAATCTTGAGCAAGAAGCAGACCCGCCCCCAAACCCATTCATCTCCTGGATTCTCTGGAGGTCTCTGGCTTCTCCACTGTCTAGATCTCTGGCTTTCGGTGCCTCCAAAGTCCCAACTTTTACAAATCATCCACTCTTCTCTCCTTTCTCAAGTCCTTCTCTAATTCACTGTGGCAGAGTGAGGGTTAACTCCATACGATTCTATGACTGTGGTGTGTCTCCGCTATTATACTGTCTGAAAACCCGATGGTTCAGGTCTTTTTAAGTTTTAATATCATTTTGTAATGGTGAAATGGCAAGATAGGTCAACTTTTTAAAAATAGGTGACAAATTGGGTGGTTTAAAATTGAAGTCTCTAATCAAAAGCCGAGGAAGACAATGTTGATGAAATGGTACAAAACCATGTCATTTATTCTATTTCCCCGGACTTGCTGGCTTTTCTGACTAAAACTTGGTTAAAGATGGGCTTAGTTTACTCCATAAAGAATTTGCCACCCCTCATGTGTGCCAGGCACTGTGCTGGTTCTAGGACTCTGTTGATTATGACGAGAAAACCTTACTACGCCACCTTTGATTGATGGTGCAGTAGGCTGAAACAGTGTGTGTCAGTTTCCTAGGAAAGACCTCTCCTTAAAATGCCCTCTAGCATTTACTGCTAAAGGCCACGTGCAAACTCCATATCAAGTTATGAATTTGACATCCACCAGTGCTCAGAAGAGACAGGGCTTGTGCCTTTTCTTTGCAACGTGAACTTCCCACAGCAACCAGCCGAATCAGAATGAGGTCTGAGAGGCTGCTGAACCCTTGCCAAATGACACTCCACTTTACTGACAAAACAGCGTCCTCCTGCTGTTCTTTCTCCTGACAGGTATCTATTTTGAACTCCTTCTAGAGAATGCAGTGACAGTTCCCATCCTTGATCTCCTGGCCTAGCTCCCAGGGAGACCTTCTCACATCATGTTTTATTCATGATGTTTTCCAGGCTGGTTTCTTCACTGTAAAAATTGGTGGTGGGGGCAGAGGTCATCAATGAATCTGAAATAACATTTGAGTGGCATAATAAAACCATCCCTTTGTGTGCCAAAAGCCTATAACCAGAGTCTGAGATTCTGGGAAAAGACTGTTTTGAGGATTTTTAAGGCAAAGACTCTGCAGAGTAAAAAAAAAAAAAAAAAAAAAAAAAAAAAAAAAAATACTGCTTTTTGTATTGTGTTGGAGTAGTGAAAGCAGTGGGTCAGAGAAACCAAAATAACCTTTGCTGGGAAACAGGATAAGTTTCAGATGTCTGAGAGCTTGGCGAAGAAAGATGGTGCAACAGAAAAAAACAGTAAACTGATAGATAAGTGGGTCTGGAACTAGGAAAACCAGAAAGACTATATGAAATAAACATTTATTCTATTTCCCCCTAAAAAATGTCATCAACTTCATCACTGTCTTTCCTTGTCAGAATTATGTATATTTCTACTTCACTAGTTATGCACTTGTAGGAGAAAGTGTAATAAGCATCTCTTTCACTTCTATCCTCTCAAAACGAAACCAATGGCCAAGCAATATAGGGACAGGAATGATAACCCTCTGTTATACGTAATTTACACGTACGTATACCTTGAGAATGATGGTCCTCTCGTGGCGGGTGATGTTAACACTGTGAGGCTGGCCATTGGCCATGTTCCTGTGGTCTACATCAATATTGTATGGTTCTCGGGTGCCACCCAGGTTGTACCGAATCTGTAAGCTTCCTATGGAAGAAAAAGGAAAGAAGCTCAGTAATTTGTTTGGTCTTAGTTTCATTTTAATGCCACAACCCTACAACCCCTGCTCTTAGATTTCTAATCAACTCTACCCCCTCCCTGGACGTCCACAGACAACATTCGAGATTTGAATTTGGATTCAGGAGCTCAGAGGCCTGCTGACCCATGCTGGCTGACAGCGCTACGCTTGCGCATATTTACAATCTGCCCACAGCGTACTTCAGTGACCGTCGGCTCAGAGTCGAAGCTGCAAATGCTTTAAATGATCCCCAAGCTGGGATTGTGCCTGGACAGGAAGAGTGAGAGCATATACAATATAGGGCTGTGGGGAGGAGACATCTGCAGGCCCCACGAAATGCTATGTGAAATTAAAAAAAAAACAAATGCAGAGTGCAGGGATGTTCTCACTCCATCAGCAAAGTGTGACATTAGGCATTTAAAAGAATCACAAGCATAAAATTTTAAAAATAGACACATGGGATATAGATAGAGGGGATTTGGAGCGGCATCATTGAGACCAAGTAATATTTTATTTTAGCTTACAGACTAACCAAATGCAAATCAAAGGGAAAGATGGCTTTCCCAGGCCCTAGAGCCCCCTTTTGGCCTCAGTGATAGTCACTTTGCCTCAACGACATATTCTTTTTTTCCTCCTTGCTTCTTCCCAACAATAAAAAATAATATCCAAAATAACTGACAACGTAGATCCTTCCAGCATAACTGTTTTTAGTTAATCTGCCAGCATAACTGTTATATCTTATGATTTTTAAAGACATCAATATTTTATCTCATTTATTACTCACACTGGAATTTTCACGTTGACAACTCAGAGCTTAAAAGTGGAGCCAGCAATCTAGCAAGAATTTGTCCAACTGTAAATCACCTAATGGATTATTTGTTACCTTTCATTTTCTTTTTAGGGGAACAAGACTGATATTCTGATTTTTAAGTTACAAAATAAAACATGCTAATTAAAACATAGAGAGTAAACAGGATATAAATATAATATAAAAGAAAGTCACCTGAAATCCCACCAACCAAAGATAATTATTCTAAATATCTTGGCAGTCTCTCCTTCCAGACTTTTCTCATGCACACACACACACACACACACACACACGCACACACACACACAGAGTGCTATTTTTTATTTAGACATTATACTTCCCATGTTCCTGGATTTCAAAGAAACATTTGTTAGAAAATCAAGAGTTAATTACGTTTCCTATTTTTGTTTTCCAAATGAAATTCAACAAACCTTCACTATTTCTGAGTTTTACCTTATCATGTCATCTTAGATTCCTTTGCCTCTGGCATTTAAACTAAGTACCGTGGATTTTTGTCTCCTAAATCTATCTAAATTCCCCCACTCCCCTCTGCTTCGGTAACCACAGGCTCTCCGTTGGCCCCCGCGGTATCCTCCGTGAATTCCCCTGCTCCCTGGCTGAGGCAGCACCACCCACACAAAGCTCCTGGTTTATCCTCACCCGTGCTTCACCTGCACCAGCTTCTGCCTGGATTGCAGAAGATGGTGGGTCTTAACCAGCCTCCTCTTTAACAATTACTCCTCTTGACCTCATTTCACTCTCAAGTGAGTCCTCTCTTCCTTTGCTTTTCTTTGCTCGGGATCCCATGGAAAGAGATGGGCACACTCGCTGCCTCCAAACCCGTCCCTATTTTAGCATGAGCCCTCTGTCTTACTTCTGTCTTCTCTGCTTCAGGGTCCTGCTCTTGCTGGAGCCCATGACCCCTGGGGAAGTAGAGGCAATGGTCTGTCTCAGGCCTCATCTTCGCACTGGGTTCACCTCCTGGAAACACCTGGCCTCCAGCACGCGTTCTTTTGGTTTTCCTTCTCCACCTGTTTTTCCCCTCATTTTGGGGCACCTTACGCTTGCAGTCCCTAAAGACTAGCCCCGAAGCATATTCTGTTTGTATTCATGCCTGTTTCCATGGTGATCCTGTTACTGAAGGCAAATCCCTAAGGGTCTGCAGCAAACTTGATCCTTGGCTCCTTGGAGGAAAGAAAGCGGTTGAGGGGCAGAAGTAGGTTTAAGGCAGAGGGAGGACTGAGGCAAGTTTTAGAGCAGGAGTGACAGTTTATTAAAAAGTTTTAGAAAGGAAGTACACTTGGGAGAGGGCCAAGCGGGCCACTTGAGAGATCCAAGTGCCCTGTTTGTCCCCTGATTTGGGGTTTTATACATTGGCATAGTTCTGAGTTTGGTTTCCTCTCCCCTGAGTCTTCCCTTGGGCAGGCTGTCTGCATGCACAGTGGCCTGCGAGTGCGCATGCTCATTTGAGGCGTTTTCCCCTTTCTGGCTGAGTGTTTCTGGAGGAAGGTCCTCTACCCATAAACTCCACCATTTTGCCTTAGTGTGCATGCTTGGGGCCGCTCACCCAACTCCTGAGATCTTATTTGGAAGCTGCTGATCACCAGCTCCAGATGTTTTCTCTCTATTGGGAGACGGTCCTTCCTTGGTGCCAGCTCCAGCCAATTATCATTTTAGCGCCAGTTTAGCAACTGCCTGACCATCACCTGATGGTCATCTGAGATTTTTGGTAGTTGCGGGGAGGGGGCACCCTCTTCTGCCGTGCTCAAGTCTGTCTACCTACCGGAATGGTCCTATCCCATGTAGGACCCCTGAATAAGGTGTATGCCCACCAGACCCCAAATTCGTACCCCAGTCAGACTTCTCTCTTGAACTCCAGACTCTTTCCACAAACTGTCTACTTGATATCTTATTGGCAACCCCAAACGTAACATAGGCAACAGAACATCAATCTTCTTTCCTCAGAAGTATCGCACTGCAGTTTTCCGTGTTTTGGTTAATTGCCAATTCATCCTTCCAGTTATTCTTGGCAAAAGCCCTAACTGTCCTCTTTCTCCTATATGACATGTGTCATCTGACAGCAAGTCTTTTTGGCTTGATCTTCACAATACACCTTGAATCTCCATCTCTACCCTCTGGACCAAGCCACCAGTGTCTTTCACTGGGATTATACCAGCTTTTGTCCTTACTCTAACCTTCCCTGATCCCAGCTGGGCCTCTGACCCTGACAGACACAGTGTCCTCACCACACGGTGGTCAGAGTGACGCTCTGCCCAGAATCCCAGTGGCTCCGTTTCACTCAGAGTAAAAATCAAAGTCCTCGCCATGGCTCACCAGGCCCAATGTGATCTCATTATTCTGACTTAAACTCCTGTTACTCTCCTCCTTGCTCACTCCTCACCATCCACGTTGGCTTCCTGTTCCTACCCCAGGGCCTTTGCACTCACTGGTTCTTCTATACAGGATGCTCATTCCCCAGGTCTCTGCTTGGCTATGCCCTCACTCCTTCAGGTGTTTGCTCTCATGTCTTCTCAGTGCATGTCTTCTCAGTGATCATTTCTATGGCTTCCTCATTAAAAGTGGAATTTACCCTCTCCTTTCCCTTGGCCAGGCCCTCCCTTTTCTGCCTCCTATTTCCCCATAAAAGTTCTTAGCATACAACGTGCTATAGATTGTACCAATTTGTTTATTTTCTATCTTCTCCTACTCAAATGTAAGCTCCATGAGAGCAAAAATGTTTTGTTTCTATTCTTTATGACTGTTTCCAATATCTGGAATAGTGCCTGAGGCACAGAAGTGGAATAAATATTTGTGGAATGAGTGAATGGTTTCTGATATGGTTTGGCTGTGTCCCCACCCAAATGTCAACTTAAATTGTAGTTCCCATAATCCCCATGTATTGTGGGAGGGACCCAGCGAGTGGTAATTAAGTCATGAGGGTGGTTACCTCTGTGCTGTTCTCATGATAGTGATTGAGTTGTGATGAGATCGGATGGTTTTATAAGGGGCTTTCCCCACCTTTGCTCTGCACTTCTCTCTCCTGCTGCCATGTGAAGAAGGATGTGTTTGCTTCCCCTTCCATCATTATTGTAAGTTTCCTGAGGCCTCCCCAGCCATGCGGAAGTGTGAGTCAATGAAACCTCTTTCCTTTATAAATGACCCAGTCTCAGGTATTTCTTCATAGCAGTGTGAGAACAAACTAATACAGTCTCCCTGATTCTGTACTTTCTTCTTTGTGATGTTTGCTAAATGCATCACTGATTATTTTATTGGGTCATTTAAAATCCTTCAGAGCTTTCCAGTTCTTTCCAGAATAAAGATGTACTTTCCAAATAGAGTTTGCAGTGCCCTGTCTGATGTGTGTTCCTCTGCTACTTTATCTTCAAATCATGCCACTCACTGTCACTTTTTACATTCAAGCTACCATGAACTTCTCTTATTCACTATAAAATATGATCTCCTCCCTGCCTTGAATATGCTGCTCCCACCTCTTGAGCTGCCTTTCTCTCCACCCCTCTGTGTTTACTTGGTTTTTCCTTTACCCGATAACATTAAAATAATCCATTGTTTGGGAGTGAAGGAGATGATCAGGCAGTTGTCTGGCAACATGCAGAAAAAACAAGTTGATTATCTTAGGTTTTTACTCTCTGCCTTATTTCTGGCACTCTGACATCATATGATCTCAACCAGTTTTCTTAATAACACAGCTGCCTTGATTTATCATGTATTCATTTCTTCAGAACACATGTATTTAGTTCCTGTGCAAAGCGCAGCTTTTGTCAAGGTCTGAAAACAGGCTTTCTGCCTCGTTACAAGTGTGGGGTCCACTTACAATACACACAGCCATGCCCATCCCCCAGTAAGGGTCAGGCGGTGTGTGTGGCTCTGAGATTACAAACACACAGAGGCCTAGAGGCTGGAGGAACTCGCAATTATGCAAAATGCTGGACATTTCCCTTTCTGTTGTCACTTTGTCATTGTCCCCTTTACGTTCCTCAGCTCTATTAAAATCAGCATTGTTTTCTTTTTTTTTCTTTTCTGCCCTTTCTTGGACTTTGTAAGTATGACTTTAAATTCCTATTACTGCTTCACTTAATGACAACAGAAATTATTTGCTTTGAGAAGAAAAAGATGAGTTGGTACTTTAAATTTATATATAGT